GCCCGTGTGTGACTGAAACCAGAATCCATTGTACTGATTGCTCCGCTATCATTCCTGGTTTATTTTGAATTCTTAGATAGTAGCTAGATGCCTAAGGTATTCTCATCTGTAAAGTGTTCCAATAGGTATCTAAATACTATCCGAGAACTTAAATTGAATCAGAAATAGTTTTCGTCGGTAAGATAGTTTAGAACATGATTTTACTGTAAATTTTCAAAAAGAGGGGGCTGATTTTCCACTGCTTTTTCGACTTAATTTTGATCAGCTTTTGTAGAGAAAACGATTTTACCGAGTTTGAAGTGCATATGTACCACTAAAACTTTATATAAACTTTTAAATTAACTTCTCTGAGGAGCAAGTCGGTGCTTAACAAAAACGGTTCTGTTCAAAATCTAATATGAAGTTACAGTAAAGCTTGATGTAGAAAAATAACCAATGAAAAACTGAACAAACTAGTACAAGGACCACAGTTACACACTGTATATTTAAGGAGAAATGGTTTATTTTCGAATATCTCCTGTCTAGTCATTATCCTTGAGCAATCATTTTCCCCATTTCAACTCATAAATAAGAGAGGATACTACTAGTCTTTACTATAGGAAAAAAGCTCATGAAAAGCTCTACAATATCTGTTAATAGGAAGCTTAACGAAGCCTGGCAGCAGGTTTTATGAGTTTAATACTAGACTTTTCCATAGGTCGTGGTTATGCCAGGGGAACTCTTGATCACTTTTCTCTATGAAACTAAAGAGTATCTCTAATCAATCATGCATCATTCGATGTGCCTTGAAAAGCTCTACAACATGTGTTAATAGGAAACTTACCGAAGCTTGACAGCGATTTCTTTATATTAAATACTTCGCCACTTAATCCCACAGTGGGCCCAAAAATTGTTCACCACCTTTATTTTACATTTTTCTCGTTGACCATAATAGCTAGAATAAATTTGAAAAAAGATTTGAACAGCTGAAAGAATTTCCGATCTCAGGTGGTGTATACAATCACTAGACAGGGGACGTTCGAAATAAACCATTTCAGAAATATTTTTATACCTCTGAGATTCTTCGGGAGTGTCGAGAAAACGTTTATAGATATAAACCACATTATAAAGCTGACACATGGAATTAGCGAAATATTCGTAACGCATCTGAGATAGTTCGGAGCGGACACTCGGAGATGGGCGAGTGACCAATTTTTCGAGTCTGAGTCGAGTCCGAGTCAGGAGCCTTCGAGTCGAGATCCGAGTCCGAGTCACATCAAAAATTGACTCCAGTCACCTCGAGTCATTTTCTAGAGGAAAACTTCGTCCTGATTCATTTTTCCAACCACAGGTCTTCAATCCTTCAAACTGACGAGTCAACGAAAGCGACTCGAGTCAGTTGATCAAGTTTATCGAGTCTTTTGTCTCGAATCCGAGTTCGAGTTCAAGTCAGCGAAAAATGCGACTCGAGTCGACTCGGACTCTCCCATCTCTGGCGGACACCGACCGATGGGAGATGTGTGCGTTCTGTTCTATTCAAAATCATGGAGGGTCGTTAGCAGATGTAAGTTCCTAAGGAACTTGACTTCGATTCCATACTTGGCTTCGAAACACGTACTTACTCCGATAAACTTTTCAGACCGATGACAAGCTATTGCAACCGCTACTGTGAACTAAGTTGAAAGATATGAACGCTCTTATCGAAAAAGATATCGTTCAATTCTATAGTAGGAAGATTGAGTCTGCGATAAACCTTCATATAAGGTATGGGACGATACCAATGGAAATACCCTCGTAAAAACGGCTCACTTTATCTAGCTGCAGCGTTCTAAACTAGATGCAGAAACTGTGAAAAAAAATCGATGCAAAAGGCGATGCACTGTTGCTGCATCGCACTAAATATCGCTTTTTTTATCGTTTCAATATTCCTATATTGGTAGGCGATGCATCGCCTCTTGCATCTAGTGCATCGCTTTTACTCGATGCATCTAAATAACTAGACTTTTTTTACTCATTTAGCTAGATGCTTCTGCTGGAGCATCGCTGGATGCACCAGAGAATGCATCTACATATTTTTTCTGGGCAGGTTTTGCTTGGGATGTGTTTGAGGCTTACAGAATTTCTGACAAAACAGAGTTTTCAGAGATTTCTATCTCAAGATCCTTTAATGGGATATCAAATCTATTTATCGATTCTTGTAGAACTCGTCAAGCTCTTTCATTTGAAATTCAAGATTCTATGGCATAGCTGGTAAGAAAACCAAGCTTTGCAATAAAGGCTATTTTTGTTGAAAAATGCTGATTTTCGCCAGAAAAATAAAATGCATATAACTTTTGATCTGACAACGATAGAGACCTGCGGTTTTTGCCATTGCAATTAGCATCCAAAACTGCACCGCGAGAGGTATATCTCTTCATTTGCGCATAAAGTCTTGTATATGATGGTATGTATCAAACGGATTGACCAGGTTTGATTTCCATGAATAATTTCGTGCAAGAGTATAAGACAGATTCAGGACCGGGTTGATGGGCAGACCGATCAGTCACTGGCCCAGCTCTATCCAGTCTTAAAATTTCGCTTGGCCAGACCAGTCTTTCGTTGGCCGAGACAGATTATCAAACCGGCTGGTGAGGGCCTGTATTTATTTTACAGGCATTTTTCTCTTCTTTAATCCAAAAAACTGATCGCTTTTAACCGAAAACATTTTCTTCGAGTGAAAAAACTTTTAAAACCAGCCGGTTCTTTTACCGGTTTTTTAAGAGACAAAAATATTTTTTTAACCCGTCGCTTTTTCGCCGGATTTTCAGCGATCCAAAAGAATTTTCGGACCCGATAGGTCCGGTCTCCTGTTTTTGATCGGTTCACGCTGCCTGATCTCAAATTTTCAGACTAGCTGCAACTCTGATAGGAGATGCTCATTTTGTCAACTTTCGATTTCTTTTCAGTTCGTCTGAATACAGCTACTAGTATCGGTATCACTAGCACAACTGCATCACGTAAGTTATCTGAAGAGATTAAAAATATACACAAACTTTTTTTCAGGACAAGGCTAATTTATTATCACCAGCCTGACTTTCTTGTAAGAAAAAAGCTATTACAAACTCTTAACTTTTAAATTTGAGCTTCTAGAAACGTATTGGAAATCTGGAGCACAAGAGAATTTAGACACATAAGCCTTGACAGGTTGGTCACTCTGCTACAATGATACGTGCAATGTAGTGCTCTACAGCACGTTAAACACCACTCCCCGTCAATGTAATAAAAGTAAATTAATGTTGTCATGTCGACCAGTCCATGCTGCTCTTTTAACACTTGCAGCTATGGGTAATCGCGAAGATGTGCTGTATGATTGTGGAAATATTCAAAGCTGTAATTCCTGATGATGATGGAGCCACTGCGGCCAAGCCTAATTAACTCAGTAACAAAAATTAATTTTCTAAGATGAACATAAACATTTACAAGATTTTTCAACTTTTACTCTCGTATTGTCAGTGTTTATTTTATTGGACCTCCAGTGTACAATCTAGTTCCAGGAAGCTATAGAAGAAACTTTTTCAAAAGCAGTTCTTTTTTCCTTTATTCCTCTGAAAAAACAGAACGAAAACGCAGTGCAATTCTTCACTACTCAATCTTGTTGTGTAACGGCAGTGATACCGGAATTCAAGCGTTCCAAGCACAATTCTTTTTAATTGTTAACTCTTCTGTCCACTTTATTTTATAATGAATTAACAAAGATACATTTGTGAAACGGATTAAGCTAAATCTGAAAATTTATTTCGACTGTCATACCTGATCCATAAGATTTTCTTAAGCTTTCGAAGCATGGGTTGCGACTTCATATATTCCGTTCGATGTCATCCGTAAAGAAGAGCGGTCAAGTTTAACTTTTTTAATACCCCACTCTCCGATGGCATTCGACTCCTTTCCTGGCCGGACGTCAGATCAAACTNGAATTAACAAAGATACATTTGTGAAACGGATTAAGCTAAATCTGAAAATTTATTTCGACTGTCATACCTGATCCATAAGATTTTCTTAAGCTTTCGAAGCATGGGTTGCGACTTCATATATTCCGTTGTATTGACTCAGAAGACTACCTGCTCAAAACAAACTTTCCGTTCTATGTGATGGACAAAAAACCTTTTAATAGTAAAAAATTTAAGTTTTTTTAAAAATATTGTTTATTTTAAGAAATTCATAATTTTTTAAGGGACGGTCGTACAGAGCTGAGATTGGTCTTATTTTGTAGAGAATTTTATTCTCTAAAATCTAGTAGTCTTTTCTTGAAATCGAATTTTTGGCCATGAAAAGACCTACTTTCTAATCTTAAAATAATACAGAAGAATCGTTATGATATAGTTAACTAAACCTTAACGCAATATCAACTTTCTTCAGAAGAAAGAACTCAGCTGTTTACAAGAAAAAGCTTTAGGTGAACTTATATGTAGTACGAAAACTAAACAAGCCACTCAGATTTCACAGCAAACTTCGAGAAAAAATTTGTTATTAAATTTTCTTAGGCGAAAATATGTCAGTAAGTCCTATAAGACGGCCTGAGATTGGTCAAAAATGCCATGGGATGGTATGGAACGAAAATTGTGGGGTAAAATTTGATGGGAGGGAAGTTTCTCTCAACTCGCCTGTTGACACCTCTTGTAAGATACTGTAAAATTCGAACACAAAACTTCAGCACCAGAACTCTGTCAAAGACAATGCGATACATGCAATGAATAAAAGAATAATCTATCAGCTAATTTTCTCAGCTGTATGGATGTCGGTGCCTACTTTAATTCATTCACAAATAAGAGAATTGTCTAAGAAAAAACGAGCATCATGGTCTAAAAAGATTTCACTCTCATCCAGCTTCGCCGACTCCTATCTCCTCCTTTATTTACAGTACATCCTTTATACAAAAGATCTTTTCTGTCACATCAAATACTACATTTGGATTGACTAGTTTATCCATTACAAATTTCTTATCATTCTTCAATTCTATTTCAATGATTGTAATTGCCTTTGCCTTATGAGCACCGCTTTTCGAATATTTCTCTTCGACCCGTAGTTCACCACCGTCACCGTTAATTGTCTCACGTACAATTTCATTTTCTTCATTTTCACCATGGTAGTGTAAGTAACACATAATTGGTTCTGATGTCCTATTTGTGATCACTGTTGACGTAACTGTTTGTAGATTTTCTTGGTCCCGTGCTATACTCATATCGGATTGAGCTGCCATTGTTCAGTTCGAATGGAACTTTACTGTGAGATAGAGGAAAGGTTAAAATAAAAAGTACTGATCACGTGAGTTTAATGTGTTTCCTCCCTCCAGCACTCTTATCAACTGCTACGGTTCGATGATTATGCTCAAAGGACAGAAAAACAAGTAAATAATAAAAAAACGATTTTCTCCTTTTCTGTGTGCCCATCGACTGAGTAAGAATGGAGTAGCTGCAGTACTAAGAAGTCAACACATGTTTCGGATAAACGTGTATAAAGCACATACATCAGATCAGTGGTAATCTATCCTCATATATTGGACTGATGTTAATTTTATGTTCTTTTGCAAACTCTAAGACTGCTTTAGCAAAAATGAATCGAAACATTATTTCATTTCAAGTGATAAGAAGAAAAATCGTCTTTTCATAAAAAATATCTTGAAAGTTTCGAATATTTGGAAATCTATACTACGTTTTCGATTTAATGATCCTATGTCTCGTTTGGATTAACTTACAAGGATCATTTCTGACAAATATTTTGACATCGCCTGTTCCGGCAGTAAAAATACTACTACTATTGACACAGGATCGTTACATGTACAGCACTACTGATTAGTACCAACTTTTTAATATTTCATTCTCTTGTTCTCGTTGACTCTTCAATGAGCTGTACATTTCGTATACAATATATTTTATTGCTCTCATTTACATATACTGTTGTTGACAGATCGAACATGTCGGCTAATACAGTATTGTACAACCACATATTGGTATACTTGTCTTATAAGAACAGTCTAACTTTTTCTGGTAACATTCTGTCTATTTCTCGATAACAGCTCTAATTTGAAACAAGTCTCATTTATACATCTTCTCGTCATTGTCCTCACTGATCTTGCGTACTAGACAGCCTGCACACTTCTGAACGAGGCTATGATTTGGATGTGTGCTTGGTTTTCTCCGAAGCCAGCATAAGCTACCTTGATATAGCAACCATATTTTTCCCATTGACTAGCTCACTTTCACTTCGCCACGGATGTCGATTAAGTAGCTGAAAGCTGATATTCAACAGCTGTATTTTTTTGGTAACACTAAGATTTGGTAAGAAATAGTAGCAATCAATCCTGTAGAGATTTAATAGGACGCTCTATAAATGTCTGATTACTCGCCATCTCTCAGAATTTTAAATTTATACTGCTAACGACAGAAATTTGCTGAAAACAGTTTTTAAACATTCTAAGAGTAACCTATTCATTAGTTTTCTCTAAAACATTGCGAATATTTTGCACCTGATTTGCATATTGGATGGAAACACATATTGGTCAACTCAGTTTTTCATCCTGATTCCGAATATGATATTATTATTGCAAAAAAAGTTGAGAAATGCTTCTCTGGGGGGTGTGAACGGTTTTTTCCAAAACATGTTTTGATTGAATCTGATCGTTTTAGACTTGTAGCATGAAAAGGGGGAATATTGAGAATTACCAGCAAAATTCAGGCTTTGCAGAGACATTTCTAATATCAATGTGTCCTAGGAAACTTTTTCTGTAAATTATATGTATCAAATTGGAACTTGACAAATTCTCTATCGAATCGTATATTTATTGTAGTGGTCGGATGACAAACGTTGACATAGAACGTGTGAGACTTTTTGTAGGTAGGAGATCATTTTCCAATTTGTATTTTCCAATTGTTCCAGTTTGCTCATTTGTATTTCTAAACATACTTGGCCTAAGAACAACTATTTCTCTATAGATATAAGATGCACGCAAAGCAGTCTTGCAGCATAAAATAGATTTCGACGTTTGATATACCATTCGATAGAGAATTTAACGACGATCACGAATATTGCAACCCCGCCTTTCAAAACCCTTCCTTGGCGAAGCTGCACTCAAATACTGGAGATGACTAAAAATTTCGTTTTTTCGTCACTTTCTGTAAAAAACGCTGTAAAATTTTCCCCTCATGATTTTGAGCCCGAAAACTAAGTTTCAGCATGAAAAACTAAATCTGAAAAACTACCTTTTGAAGTCCTAGTCTCTAAAGTCTCTTCAAGAAGAATTCTCGAACAAACAGTGGCCACTACCGTTGGTCCTGCCGTTTTTGCAAACCTATCACAGGTTTCCCTGAAGGCCCTAGAGCCAACATTTTTATATGGTTAGATTCCTTGAGAGCTCCTCTACAAAAGTATACGAACAGATTTTTTAGATTCCTTTTCATTGCTCAAATATTCGCCTTTTACTCAGACCCATGCCAACCGGCCAATTCCTTTTTCTTCATTTTTTCAAATTTCAATAAAAATCAAGCTATTTCAAAGTCAACTAGGTTAGAAACTATGGAAAATTCCATGAAGATGCTGAGAAGGTCGTCCAAGGGTCTCCAAAATACCTTCGGAGGGCCTTGATGTATTTTCGAGGCTGCAATCTCTGCTTTCAACTGGAGTTCTGCTAGTCAGACCTTAAACGATTATTCTTTGTGTACACAGTTATATTCTTATGATTATCATCGTATTTATACTTGATTCGCTAAGGAAACAGAAGAAGAAATAAACACCGGCTTACATAAACTACTGAAGAACATCTGCATCACTTCGGTGTATGATTGTCCGCCGTCGTAGGCCTTTAGACACCTCCAGAACCGTCGGAACAACTTCAAGGAGATCTCCCTCTCTCGAAAGTTCTTCCTGGACCCGACGCATTGCAGCAGCCTCCAAGTCCGGAAAGTAGTCAAAGAACTCTGTAGAGTATTTCCCACCTCAGTTCTCTCCTTGAAATTCGTCGAGATCGCCGGAGATGAAGATGTCGGCCCACTTGTGTGAAGTTCTTGCCTTGAAGGCTCCTAATAGCAATGAGGTGGTTTGTGTTTCTAAACAAAACATATTAAATTATTGATTCACTCACCAATACTACGAAGAAAATCGTCACGCTTTCTCCAGTCAACGCCGAAACTTCGGCGGTCTGCTCTGGACTGAATTTTGTGGAACACGATTCTGAATGAGTCACGGACAGTGACATAAACCCGTCATAGACCTCGACTGATGTTCTTTTGACCTTTTCGCATACTTCACAGACACATAAATAGATGTTATTTTGTCCTCATCAGAGATCGTGACAGACCTCTCGAAAATCGTATGAATCGTGCGAAAAACTTCTCCTCAAGTATACAATCAGTTGTCTCGCGTACCTCATTGTAATCCCGCGGGGATTGCGCTGAAAGCTTTTAGCACTTATCTAGAGGAACTCACGGTTAATTGCCTTAACACAAACCACCTCATTGCTATTAGGAGCCTTCAAGGCAAGAACTTCAC